TCGAACCACTGACCTCTGCGATACTAGTGCAGCGCTCTACCAATTGAGCTAACAAGCCAACTGGGAGCAGGCCGTTAAGTTGATTCGTAATAAACCCGTGAAAGTGATAAATCAGATACAATGAAATATATGAAGTTCATATATTTTGAACTGCGGTATTAGATACGTATGATGCACGATCCTCGCAGTAGATAGCGCTATTTAAGCAATAGCGAAAATCAGACCTGAAAAAAATCAGGCCTGTACGGGATTCGAACCACTGACCTCTGCGATACTAGTGCAGCGCTCTACCAATTGAGCTAACAAGCCAACTGGGAGCAGGCCGTTAAGTTGGTTCGTAATAAACCCGTGAAAGTGATTTCACTGTTTTCTGTAAATACTTTTAATTTTCATTAACTGGACTATCAAAAAATGTCTTGATTTCTTCAATACTTACCAATTCAAAATTTGATACTGTTGCCCGAGTTGCTACATGAGGTGTTAAAAACTGCAGTTTTTCAAGTATCCACTGAGTGAGTTTTGTTTGATTTTTTCTTGCACTTCCACTAGGTAGAATGAATAACATATATTTACCAAAACATTCAACTAGCGCAGTGGCTGTGTATTGAGTACCCTGGGTATGTGTTGAGAGAAGATTACAAGACTGACAAATTCTTTTTGATGGTCAAGACTCAAGCAGTGGGCTCAAGACTCAAGAGGTAGAGGGAACAGGTGGCACTTAGAAAATTTTGCTGATGAGATCTGCACATCTTCCTGGGTATTGTTTTCACCTCTTTTCTAATGCCCAATATCAAATGAATGCAATTTTTCTAAAGCTGGTTGACAACAATGATATTTCATTGATTTTTTTCTCTAAAGCTGGCTATCATTTTGAGGGAAAAATTCTAACACGAGGTGAAACAATATATTTCTAATGCGCACATTCCCATACAAGTAAAAGTCAAATCCCTCCCCCCCCAGGGTTCAATCATATTTAAAATAAGTAACCAAGGTTCAATCAATCCTAAAATTGGCAAATTCTTGAAGTTGATAAAAAACTCGAGGGAAATACCAAAACAAAAGCAGTATCACTTCCTTTGACAGTCAATGAGTCGTTTACGACTTAACTGCACACCAAAGAAAATGTTGAATGTGTGGTGAATTTCGTGGACGGCAGTGTAAATATCAACATATAGAATTTTAATACTGGGCTCATTAATATGCTTTGGCCTAGGCCTATAACTTAGACTTTTTCTTAATTGTTGTTCCAAGCTTCTCGGCGAGCTCTTGGAGGGCTTTATCCCGCAACTCACGATTCTTGAATGCAGCGCATCTTACGTCGTAGAGGCATGGATAATCAGGCCAAAATTCAACCAATTTACCTTCTTAAACAGCTTCAGCAACTATCGAACTGTTTTCCGCCATTTTTTAAGTTTATGTATGAAACGAACGCATGTGCATTCGTTTCGATGAAACAAACGCATGCGCATTCGCATCGATCACTCCGCTGATAGCTCAGAACGCGCGCTCACTGTGAGGAAATGTTCACTCGTGCCCAAAATTATTCAACATGTTGAATATCCGACGCTAATGGCACGCGTGACCAAAATCGCAGAAAAAGTCACCGCACACTTGAGGAAACGGCGTAAGGCAAGAGCACGAGTGACGCTCAGCTCAGCTGATAACTCAAGTGTGCGCCGGGCTTAACTCATGCAGTTTACCCTTACAGAACAGTGCACTCACAGAATACACCGCGACACTTTTGGATTTTTACAGCTCCCTTTTCATTTCATCATAGGAAAAGGAAAGCTGAATGCCAAATCCAAATTATCTTTTACCCCGAAATATTTTCTTTTCGTATCAGCTTTTTGATCCGTTCCCATGGATCTAAAAGCTTTTTAGAATGTTTACATGCACCCTCATTTCAAATGGCGCAGTCTTATTATATTTCACAATATCAAGCACTTTCTATGTCAAGTTCTTATTTGGTCTCTGTCTTTAACTGGTAATCGGAGAGCAACTGCTTAACAAACCTGTTACATGTTTATCAAATTATTTAGACTCAGCCAGATCTCCCAGAAAGAGTGATGCTCAAATGAATTTTCTAAAATTTGCTCTTGCACCCTTGTTCCCGCTGGGTTAAAGACCTTTCGCCTAGATTGTGCTAGCATAATTTCTGGCATAGTTTAGAAAAACGAGCGTACATTTTTCCCCTTTTTATATAAGCACTGCTAGCGTAGTCAGCATATTTTCATTTTAATCGAAGGGAACGTTATCAAAGTCACGACTTGCTTCGTATCTAAAAATTGATCATTTTTAAGATAGGTCTGTCGTTCAGTTTATTTTACAATTTTTTTGGGGGGGAAGAAGATCACCACGTCGTTTGTCGTTTAAAGCCGAATTGGACGCACCGAAAGTTAAATTCCATCGGTCCCAGTTACCGCATCACAGGCAATAAAATAGCGGTAGTTAGATAGAAGTGTTTTATCAGAGCAAGTGTACAACTCAATTTTAAAAAACCAGCATGATTGTAAGCATGATTTGGGAAAAAGTAGGCAACAGACTACTTTTATTTGCACGGTCTGTTAGGTCTCTCTCTCCCTTCTTCTGGAAAAATAAAAAGAATGGACCGTTATAAAGCAGCGGGAGTCTAGGACGTCACCATTTTATATGCCTTAGTGTGGGTATGACCTTCTGCATAATATTGGACTTTTTGTTGTGATAACGCTTATCTCTAATCTAGGATTAACAGATGAACGTGTTCTTGAATTCCCTTCCAAATAGCAAGAAAATCGTAATTCTGAGAAATTCCTTTTAAAGGTAAAGTTAAAACTCTCTTTAAAGAAATGGAACAGTAAGATAAGATAGTTAATTAATTTGGACTCACTCAGAACCGCGTTTTAAACAATTACGGTACTTACGACGAGTTCGAGTGCGTTCAATTTTTTTTCAAAGAGAAAATAGCGCATACAACCTTGTTTTGTGACACCTTTATTTAAGGGACAGAAACGAACAAAAACAACTCTGATTAAAGAACATTTAATATGAAACAGAGAATGTACCTGAAAGAGGAATGCATTGTACGTAAAAAGTAAAAATTCACCTGCAAGATTTCAAGTCGTATGAGTAAACTGACGTTTTCAGCGAAGACCCACGTTTTTAGAGTGAGTTTCGTAAAACCAAAGTCATCACAATGGCCAATCAGAAGAAAGGAAAATACCTGTAAGAGTCAATGAGAACTCAAGTTGAAAAAAAAAACAAAACAAAAAAACAAAAACAAACAAAAAGAAATTCCCAATGCGCGGGACTACGGAAGAGACCAAGTGGTGATTGGTTTTAGCTTTGCATCTGATTGGTTGAGAGAATGGCACGATTTTTCTGGACTAATTACAGAGCAAGCTATAGCAAGCGAAAAAAAAAAGTAATCCCGGATCACTCGATACCCGATTGGAATTGTTCTGATGAGAGGTTTCAGCTTCAATTCTTTATCAAAAACTGTTTCAGATGACATATTTTGGTCTTTTAAAAAGTTATGATTGAAACGGCCAGATTCCTGGTGACCTTCTGTTGTAATTGAATACTAGGGAGAGTCCAGTAATTGTATTTCTAATACAGATTCAACTATGCTCACTTTTTATTGCGTAGAAGGTTTACATTAAATTAGTCTTAAACACGAAAGAAGAGACCGTCGGGAAAAATGTTGAAAACTCTTGGCCAGGCCTTAAACTTTAAGGTTTCTGGGGCTTTGGTTAGTCTGCCACAATTTAAACATAAATATAAATTACGCCTTGAAAACAATACACGAGGGAGTATCAACGTTTGTAGACATGCTAGGGGTCTTTTAACAAAGTAACTGTTGCATTATGTCACATGTCAGAAGAGAAAAAGCAAAACGTCGAGAAATATATCTGATGAGAAGGGACAACTACAGTTGCAGGGAAGCCAAAAAAAGGCTGAGGCAAATAATTAATCTGTCAGATGATGAAACATCGTGATGTTTTGCCATAGTACAGATCAGTATTGTTTAATCATTTCATTAGAAGCTAGTCAGCATTTTAACATTTTTGCTAGTCATTGTTATAATCATTAGAAGCTAGTGAGTGTTTTAAAATTAATCGCTCTGGAGTGTGAGCACAACCCCGCATTAGAAGAAAAGCATATTTTTTGCAACGGGTTTGGAAGAAATTGCCTGTCAGCTGACTATATATTTAGTTGGAATTCCAATTTAGCTTCGAAAGCCAGTGGCAGCTCATCTGTCGGGCTCTCTGCCTAGGAAGGGGATAGAATAATGATCTACGAAATCACTTTTAGAAATATCAAAGAAAAGACGAGATCACGAATGTAATT